CCGCCTGAGCTATTTCTGCGCGATTTTTTTTTTCCCTTCTCCATCGCCGAGTTCGCGTTTCCCGCGGAGCAGATGTGTGGCACCGAAAAGACACGGGGCGAAGCATCCACCGCCGCAGCTGCTGCTGCCCCCAAAATGACACTTCTTTAAAAAAAAAACTGCCAGGGAGTGTATTTGCAGGTGAGTGCAGCTAGAAAAGAGGGGGAATAACAAAAGGAAAAGCGAGATAAAAATACAGCAGCTGAAGCCCAGGTGGAATTTGAGCAAGCTGTTCTCGTCAGCATCCCCACTCCCTCCTGTCAGAAGAGCTGTCAAACAGGCAGTACTCATAATGAAAGGAAAAATATTTTATTCAGATTTATTAATTTGAAAATGAAGCATGCCTGTCGACAGAGGGACAGTTCTTCTCAATCTGTCATCGTTGAACCACACGCGGCTGACATTGGGATTCATTTGTCTTGTCGGCTCTGACAGTCGGATTTTCCCAGAGCTCTTCCGCGAGGGATCGCCCTGGGATTTTAAACTGGATAAAACACATTCCGACAAGGAACAGCCTCTTTATTAATGCAAATTACCAGAGAAAAATGCTAGCAACAGCTACTGGCTCCTGATTTCTGCATCAGTCACATTTTTCAGTTTTAATAAAAGCCCCGAGTGCTGTTATATATATGGATCCTGTAGTTTTACAGGAATAATGTCACTCCAAAGCAGCGACACGGTAAACATCTCTTAGTTAAAACAAACAGTTGTGCAGGACGGCATGCCAGTGCCATTTTCCATTACTCCCTCATTCTCAAAGCCGATCACGCAGACAGATCGCGGGAAGAGGTCATCTTTTACCAAACAAGCCCCATCTACAGTAGCTGGTACACACTGCTTGCAGTAAACATTCCGCATTAAGTGAAGACGATAACTGCAGTGTGCTGAATTATTTAACATCTTCATCAGGGTGCTGTATCTGTATAGTGGATTTAGAAAGAGTAAATATTTCGTATTGGAAGGCTGCATTCTCCTTGGAAATATTAAAGATGTCGTGTTAAAAGCGCCTTTCGTGAAATAAACGAAGCGCTTGTCGGTGAGCGTTTATACGTGTGTGCACATGATTGTGCGCCCTGTACGTGTGGCAGTACCGGGTGTGATGGCATCCGGCGTGTGCTGTCTGAGACGACCTCAGCCTCACTGCGTGGCCGTGATTCTGGCCCTGAAACCTACCGTTTCCGCTCTCCCAGCGCATCCTAATTGCTAGTCTGAGGTGAATCAGATATGATTCATCGGGGGTCGAACTGTACCGCGGCGAGGCCGGGGGCTGATGGATCTGAACTGGAGAAGCCGTCGTGCCCTACCAGTCTCTAGGAATGCCTTCTCAGCTGGAGACTCGCCGGAAACTCTCATTTATGCAAATCGTTTTGCATGTAATCTGTATGGATAACATCACATTTGGGAAGTCATTGTGATGATGCCCTTAAACACTTCCGTGTTCTTTAGTTATTTTTTTTCCCTCATTTTCTCTGTTATACGAATGCAGACGCATAACTCTAGCGTGCGGGTTTCGGGTTCCGGGGTGCTTCGTGCCGATTTTAATGCAGATTTTAAAATGTTTTGCCGGTTGATGACGGTAGCTGATGTGCTCCATGCACAGAAAAGGGAACAACTGCACCTGCCTTTGTTTTTTTTTTTTCCACGGTTGCTTTGCTTTAGCTTGGAGAAACTAGGTGAAATGAAACATTGCGGTGTGTTATTATTTCAGTTCTGTGTTCCCTGCTGTGTCCTTTGACATTTAACTCGCCTCACCTGCTATCCACAGATATTAAATTAAGCGTGACAAGCGCTCCCTTCTCCCCCGGTCCATCAAGGCCCTGTGCTCAGCTGACATCTTTCTGCCGGCCGGCCAGCTTTCCCGTGTGACATTAATAGCATGACTGTCCACACGGTGAAGGGCCTTACCTTCAGCCTCAGCGCAGCCCGGGAGGGCACAGCCCCCGAGCCCCAGCTGGGCTGTCAGCAGGCTGGGCTGCAGGGTGTGAGGACAGGCCCTGAGTGCTTTACCTACTCTTGCCTGAAAGGGGGAGGGGGTGCCGGCCAGCTGTGTGTGAGGTTCGACAGTAACGCAGCGGCGAGCGCAACCCAGCTGTACCGAGGGCCTGCTCCCCCTACAGGACATCTCGGGGGGCCTCGCTCTTGCTGGTCCTTCAGTTCTCCCCCAAACCGGGAAGACGGGGGCTTGAGCCGCCAGTCCTTGGAATGGGCACCAAGGAGCACCTCATCCGGGATGTGGGCAGGAGCCTCGGGGCCGTGCTCCTCCGGCTTCTTCCTCTCTGCCGCCTTCTTGCAGTTTCGGGGGGGGGGGAAGAGTGGAATCTGGGCTGCGGTGGGTAAGGAGTTCAGGAAGGAGCCCCGAGTGAGACAGGCTGAGTCATTCTGCAGGCACCTTCAAGTTCAAGTTCAAGTTTATTGGCATTATGCTCATAGACAGGTAGATTTCATGGCATAATGAAATGCTACTTAGCTAGCTCTCGGGCGATAAGTAGTACAAAAAACAACAATACAATTGTATAAGAAAAGAAAGACAGTGACAACAATAGATGTGCAAAACTCGTCCATCAACAGAATGAAATAAAGGATAGTAAATTATAGGGGGTGAGCTTCTCGACATGTGAGGTGGAGGTAAGGGCATCTAATGAAGCCATGACTGCTGTGGAAAGATGGGTCACGATTGTCCGGAGCTTCAACTTTTCCTCCCTTTAAATACTGCCTTGTGCCCCTGTCCTGCCTCCCCTTTATACAGGAAATGGATTTCCCTCCATTTACAGTCCATCTGTAGGGCTGTGCGTGTGTTAACCTCGGCCTTATTGTAGGCTATCCCAAGATTCACCCCGCTCCCCGTTTTTCCGTCTCTAGTAGGAAACGGTAGTTGTGAATTTGGCCCCAGTGCGAGCTCTCCTACCACATCCACACCCTCAGCCCCTTTCCTAATTTTAAAAGCCTCTTTTTATGTTGTTGTTGTTGTTCTTTCATATAGCGAACGGAGCCATAACTTAATATTTTAATGCATGTTAATGTGTTGTTTAACCTTCTCGCAACAATCGGCTGCCTTTAAAAGGTTAACCTTGAATGTGAGCCAGAGCAGCACTGCGAATGACGTGTCAATCTGGGGGAACATCTCAGTCTAATGGATTGGTAGTTGATTGCTCAGCCCATCTTGAGTTAGATGCTGTATATATTGAATAGACATTAAAAAGAACATTTCTCAATTTCTCAGCACCACACTCAGGGTCAATGGATCATTGGGGCAGTGAAACGCTGAGTCAACTTTGCCTCTTAATTTATCTCTGGTTTGATTAAAGCTTAATTCTGAGTCCAGGCTCACACCACTGACTCTGTGCAGTTCACGCTACAGGCAGAGTTTAGAGTTGTCCGAGTATTACAATTGATTCATTTATTCATTCCTTGTTCTAGGAATGTGCTGCCTTATAGTATAAACGTAAGCGATTGCATTTATTACTAGAATCGCTGTGGAAAGGCTTTGGCATGTGGGAGCCCTCTTGCAATCTCTCTGAATCACATAATAATAAATTGAAAGAAATATCTGCCTATTGTTATTAGGTAGTGCTTTTCATCACAAAGGATGCCAAAATGATTAGGTTATTATTTTGACCAGCCCCCCCCACACCACCACCACTCGAATTCCAGGTCCGGTTTTGGGATTGCAGGGGCCCGGTGTGAAATTTAGCCAAGACGCTGGAACTCCTATGATAATTTTCCCTCCCTCTACCAGGGAATTATTGATCTATTTGCTACACTGCCAAGGACAAAAGTCCCGGTTTTTCCGACTTTTCTTCTCCAAGCTGTATACCGGGGTGTCTGCTGCTGTTTGTCAATGGGTTAACAATCAGTCTAAAGTCTGGTCCTTACTGCACTGCTGGGAGACATTTATCTCAACCCCACTCTATTGCCTGCTTGAACTCCCCCTGGGGGTGGCAATGGAATTATGTGTCAGTGCCCCAAAACCCCTCAACGCGATTGGCTAAGAGGAGTCTATTATTCTTCCTGAACTGAATGAGATCAGGAGCCCGAAAGCAATATCCCAAGGAACACTAGGAAAATTACTTCTCTGCCCCGGAGTTATATACTAGCAAGATCCACAATAGTATGGAAAATAAAATACACGTCACATATTGTATTTACTTTGTTTTCGAAGGCTAAAAATGGGTGCTGCTGGCAAAAAAGCCAGCCTTTAACAGTTCACTCTTTCTCAAGCCTCTCTCATTTCCGAAGGGGCAGACAATGATGAGAAACACTCTCTTCAGGACCTCTGGCCCCAGCCAGGTAAGGCGGCGCTGTCCACCAGGCACAACAAGCAGCAGGAGATCTTCCTGAGGTCCTGAGCAACAGAAAGCCACTCTGAGCTCAGCAGATTTCCATTCCTGGCACTTTCTGGGCTGGGCTCTCGGTGTTGTGGTGCGGAGAGTCCTTTCAAGCCAACTTCAAGCCAACTGTCTGGAAACCTCAGGGAATGAAGAAAGATGCCAGTTTTTTTTTTCTTTGCTGCTGGTGAGTCCTCAGCCAAGCCCAGCAGTTCTGATGCCCCACACACATGCTGCCTAGCCTGGTGTGTTGAGATGGGACACTGAAAATCCCCCAAACCCTTTTTTTATATATACAACAGGAAGAAGGATAGAACAATGCACAACAATATGTATGTGCACCAGGGGAGGCTCCTGGGAAGACTGGCCCTGCTGTGAGAATGTGTGTCTGAGTGTCTGCCCTGCGATGGGCCTGTCCCACACAGGATGTACACTGCCTGCACCTGTTGCTTGCTGGGATAGGCTTGAGCTCCCATGTGCTGTGGATAAACTGGTTAGAAACCGGACGGATGGAACAAGGAACCTTGCTGGGGCCAAAACTGTCTAGCTCTCTAACGTACTTGAAGATCAGTGGGAGTGAACCCCTTTCAGATATTTTTTAAGCAGTCTTGGAAAGCTCTCTGTTCTCTGACGGGGAACGGCGCCCCCCTGCACACGCCGATACAGGTCAGCGGGAGATTCTGGTGAAGCAGAAAATATGGAGGAGTTATTCCAAAGACCGTCCGGTACGTATAGTTAACGTTTTGTCACCCGTTCTTTGGTAGGACTGTTGATGTTTAAATCTCCTGCCGTAGCTTGTGGTCTTGTGCATGAATGCACTGACTCTTTCTCGCCGCAGGCATTAGAACCTCTGTTTGAAGAGCGCACACACACACACAGAGAGCGAGGAAGAGCCCCGTCCCACGAAGATAATCCCTGCCATGCTCAAACTCGGCTGTGAGTGATGTGACAGTGTGTGTGCTCCAAGAGCACATTGTCTGCTCTAACTTTCCCTGTGCGTGAGGATCTGCGATCTCCATGAAGTGCCTTCCTGCCTCTTCTTCCTCCTCTGGCTGTCTGGTGCGTCTTCTCGCTGTCAAGCAATATCTCCGGCCTGATTTGTTCCTCTTCTCCCCAGCAGCTTATTCGGATAAGACTTAACGGCAAATTATATTACATGCGTGTGTGTAGCCCTGTCGGAATTCGTTTTTTCCCCAGAATGTGTCCTCCTGGTCAAGTGACCAGTTGAATTTTATTACGAGGAGAGTCTCTCGTGGGACTTTAATAAAAGAAGCGGCTTTCATAGTATTTGAAAACTCCGGTTCCTTTGAAAAGGATTTGGGGGGGTGCATGTTTATTTCATCAATACAAATTGAAGGAAAAAGAAAAAACGTCTATGGAATACAATGTGAAATTCGTTGCGACAGCAGTGGAGCAATTGGCTTGTCTTTCCTGAACTTTCCTGAAGTACAGTTTCTGCTTTGTTCTGTAATGTATTGATCCATTCAGAGCTCCCGCCCAATGAGGTTGACTCATGCTAGCTCTGTTTAAGCCTGTCTGCAACATGGCTTTTTTTATTTCTCCTTCCTGGCAGCCGGCAAAGCCTTCACAAGACTGTACAACCTTGGAGCTCAATTTTTTTTCTACTCTTCACTCTGGAACACTGCCAAAGGCAAAAATAAAAGGGAAAAAGACACACACACACACGCGCACACACACACAACTTCAGCATAGTTTGAAGTTTTCACTGAATTCCTCAACTGAAAAGCAAGTTCTAGTCAAAGTTGATGTCCTGGTGAAATGATTACTCTCATTGTAAGGTATATAACATTGTGTAAATTCTCTATATCTTGGCCTCTTTAATACAAGAAAACCAGGAAAAAGTTAGCATTAAGCAATGTGGCTGGAACAGAGGCCTCTTTATTTTCTGCATGGAAAATAACACTTTGCTGGACTTCAGCCCTGATAACCCAGGGACGCTTACCTGGAAGTGGAACTCCATCTGATTCTCCAAGTCTGTGTCTAACTAGAAATAGGGAGACTTTCAGAAAGCAAGGAGCTGACTTAATTGACAGTAGAAAAACTGTTCCGAATGCTGCACACACATACAAATAAATATATACCGTGGGTCCCCGAATTGGTATTTTGAAGTCCATATGATAATAGTTTGGTAATCACGATGACCGCTGTGATTTATCCATCCAGTCAGTTTTGTTTAAGGCTTTGTACGTAGAGGGTTGCGGTCAGGTGGTGCTTGTCCACCTGGGAGGCACAGGACACTACAGCCTGAACGAGACACTAGTCCCTCACAGGGCACATGCACACATAATTTAGGTGCAGTTTAGGGCAGCTACAGTAGCTAACCTGGAGCATGTCGCCTGGACCTGGGCACTCCTTGCTTACACAGGGAAATAAATGCAAACTCCAGAACTTCACCCTGGGCTGGAATCGAACCCAAGAGCTGTGAGGCAGCAGTCTTGAATTCCACCCAGGTAACGACTTATGTTTGGGTTTATTCCACTTGATGGTTTCAACAGTGGAGTGTAATTTAAAAAAACACTGGACAGATGCGTCTTTAAAAACAGCTGCCATTCTACTGTAAACGTTGCGGATGTGTAGTAGACTATAATCCAAAAAACACTATTCAACACACTATTGGGACACACTAATATTTTCTGTATTATACAAGGGCAACAAGTGCGATTACAGTTATAACAAAGTAAAACATTATGAACATGGTAGTAGGGGAAATGCACAAAACTTTCATTTAGGTTTACTTTCTTGTATTAAATATTGGACTTCTCTGCCTGCAGACTTACAATGCTTGACTTCGTTAACACACCTAATCAGGGAAAACCTGATCATTCTGGCAAACAGTCATCAGGGACTAGTGGAAAAAATAATCTAAATGTGGATTTAAATTACTCAGATCAGGGGTCACAGTTTTTCAGCATAATTGCTTTATTTTACCATCAAGGATATTTAAGTTTGCATGTTTGAATGACATTGAGTGATTATTATTGAAATATAAGAGAAGTAAGAATTTGACCTCTGACTTTCATTTACCAGTGATCCCAGTCTTGTAATCTGTGTTTGAAAACGCTGTCCCCACAAGGGCTTGGAGACGCTCTGCTAAACCTAGAAGGCTCTTCAACAATGACCTCCTGTTCACTCCAGGTTTCAACATGCTATGCAATTTGGAACGGAGTTGTGATGAAGAAAAACTCATGGGCTCAGACTTAAAACACTTTTCATGAACAGAAAATAATCCCAGTGTATTCTGTAAAAAAACTGAGTTTTCTTTGAAAAAGACCTAGGCAAGAGTGGTGTGAAATAAGGAGTTTCTGCAAACATTAAAATCACTGATCAAAGCAATCGCAAAATTCATTATCTTTTTTCATTCTCATTATTCATTACCAGCTTTTACCGGTTCTTGTTGGAATTACATTTTACTTAGAATACATTTCTCAAATCCTTTTTAACACTTCAACCATACTATCCAACATATGTTTTGATGTGTTCATTTATATACATAAATATAGACACATTAATATACATTTTATTTTCTGCCCTCTCTGATACAAACAATGGAATGCTTGAAGTACACAGCTGCCCATTAAACGAATCTGTTTGAGCGAGCCTTGAATCAGTAAACTCCGTCCCACTGAACAACAGGGACTTCTTACTGGGACTGATGGATCATTTCCAGTATTGACTGATTGATTGGTTTTTGCCCAGCTGTTGTATCGGGAGACCATGAGTTAGAAAATAGCACTTTAAATGGTTTGGGAGACCAATGCATTTGAAAAGAGACACTCTATCTGCTTAAGAGTTTAGAATCATTGCCTTTTGAAATCAATAAGGTCCTCTAAAATATGATACTTCCCTGTACTCTGCCACTTATGGAAAAAAACCCAAGATGTTTTCAATGAAATGATCATTGCTTTAACTGGTGAACTGGGAGACACACAACAAACTCAATGCAGCTGCAAGCCTGTACTTATAAAAGTGATAAGTAGTTCCTTGATGCCGTGAAAATGTTTTGGTTGGTTTGGAAACTGCAGCAGAACTGATTGAGACAATAGGGAGGTATTTCGTATTGTCTGGTCACAGAAATCCTTCCAGATCTTTGTGTTAAAGTGCTGGACCATGTCTTTCCCAAGTCTGGGGTCTTATCTTCACCAACAAGATAAAACTCAGTGCTATGGATTTTCAGGTTATAAATATTTTCTTACAAATGTAAGATGAAATGAATCTCCCGAGAGCAAGAATATTTAAAGCAAAAGTATAAATATTTTTCTTACTAGACTCGCAGAGTTAATACAGCAGTAGATCTGGGGAAAAGGAAAGGATTAACATTTGAAGGAAAGGGATTTGAAGAGCCTGAGTAGTTTCTTCAAACAGTGCAAGTTCTTTATCCGTTGATGTCACAGTCCTGTGGATTATCAATGGCCCCCGTTTTAAAACATCAACACTGACATTAACACTGAGAGAAAATATTTCTGCTAAGGTCTTGGGGGTTGGGGTGTTTGAGTGAAAGCTACAATCAGCATGACAGTCCTTACAGTGTGCTTTTTACTATAAATATACATGGTACAGCGCAATTGTGTATTCCTTACTGTTCAGTGTGTCCCTTGTTGATCTTCTAATGCCCTATTTCTGAACAACAGTCCCCTCTCAGAACGTATCCAGACCTGCTTCAGTGGATATTTGACTATAATGTCCAGTTTTTCCCTTTTTGAACTGCTTGTACCATAATTTGGAACATAAGGATTTCTTAGATGTTATTATAAATATTAAAACATATGATCTTACAGAAGTAGTGGTTAACATTGCTATCTTACAGTGCTGGGACCTGGAGTTCAATTCCTGGGTGCTGTCTGTGTGGAGTTTGTTTGTTCTCCCTGTGCACCGGTTTCCTCCCAAAGTCAAAATGTACTTGTGGATTAAAGGCTCTGGCTCCCTTGACCCTGAACTGGATAAAGAGTTTAGATGGATAGTTGGTTGTAGTAAGTACAGTGTTCCTAGGCTTATTGTGCTATTTATAAAATGTTTTTCTAGGGCTGATTTACACAATTCAATAAAGCTCCCAGAGCATTTCAGCATATTTGATTAATTAAATGGTTTTGACATTCTTTTTCTTCAGCTATTTTCCATTACCACACACAATGCCGTGTAGTTCTCTCAGTGTTTTCACGGTGAATGCTAAAAGAATTTCTATACAGAGCTCTAGTTTACTGATTAAATGAAACCGGCATGCTTCAGTACTGCTAATTGTCCCTTTGTGACCATTTAACCTGCGATTTCTGTTTACCCTTCCAGAACCTGAGGGGGAAATGCTATTGTGTTCATCATGACATTGGGGTGAAGGACTTGGATCACGGTTTTGTCTTTTTGTGTGTGTGTGTCTCCTTCTGGAGCTGTAATGATGAAAAGGTTACCCTGTCTGCGTCCATACTCATAGAATGTCTCCAGCTGTGCAAAGCCGCTGTGATTTTTGCCCAAGAGCCAGATTCTAAAACAGCCGATATCTAAAAAAGTCTGGGCAAAGGAAGCCCACAGCAGTGAAGGCTGTCTGCTGACTCTCCACAAAGTCTGGATGGCCAGGAAGGCATTGCAGGTTCACTAGACAGCTCAGCCGTAGAACCGTGTGATCCTGGTGCTTGATATTATTGCGTGTGTACACAATCACGTGCCATTGGCTCCTCTTTGTTTTAAAGGAGGAGACGTACGGGGTTCAGAGAGTAGCTAGCTGCAGACACCAGCCGGCTGTGGAGGCAAGGAGGCTCACACCTGCTCCAGTCTGCTTTCTCTCAGCAGGTGTTTCTATTAGAAATTAGTGCTCAGGAAGGTGCTCTGGGCTCCAGCATTCCTCGTACAGGCGATAGGAAATAACCAGCTGAGCAATTCAGCTGCTCACTCCCCTCAGGAAGTGTCTGTAGCAAAACTTATATCTGTGCTTGTCTCCCTTTTCATTTCTGCCAGGGAACTTTAGTTCAGCACTTTGGTGGGCCCCTCTCTGCAGTGTTCGGTGTTTGTGTGGAACAAGACCATTTAGGCATCCAATGACTAATGCTATTATGCTTTGTAAGTCTGCCACCTACAGTTGGTTAGGTCGCGGGTATTTGAGATAGAATGAAAGACTCATTTCACCTGGCTATGATCTGCATTCGCGATCACCGAAGCCTCCTCATGGCCGTCCGAAGGAGACATCTGGGAAGACGTTTTGCCTCCTCCCGATCCCTTCAAGACCAGAGCTGAGTATATCTGAGGTTCACACATACTGCTCCCCTGGTACTGCCCAGTGCCCTCACTCTACATCAAGAGTCTTTCTTCTCATTTTGTTCCAATTGTCAGTTAACCTCTCCAACAGCCACTGTCCCATCAATCTAAATTCACTTCTGATTTACTTCCTGCCCTACACTGTGCACAGGCTCATCGAGCGCTGCTTAATCAAGTAATCCCATGTGGACTGAATGTTATGTTCACAGTTCAGTTATGTTCGGTTTTAAGAGCGTCTTCTTTTTGCTTAATAGAGGGCAGGCTCAGATATATACAGAGCACAAAAAAGTGTTTGCTCACTCCGCTCGATGGAAGCAGCCCTTTTCCAGGAGAGCATCAATCCAGTAATTCGTTTGTCACCCGAAATTACATTTTTAAAGATGGGGAACACTTCGAAGATACTGATGAATTATGCAGCTAGTATGTTCAATTAATGTATCTCTGACCCTTAGGAACTGACAGTATCTGTTTAAAAAATGCCTTAATTACTCCGTTTAACAAATCACCTGCAACTGGCCGCAATGCAATTGTTTCAAGTCTTTAAAAATGGATGATTTAATGTCATCCTGTAAATCTTGCTGCAGTGGAACTGCCTAGGGGACAGGGCTGGAGGAGACCCCTGCTTTAAAACATCATTTAAATATTAAAAAACAGTCAACTGTATTAGAACACTTGATGTGAATGAAATACGCATTGCTATTTCAGTAGTTCTGCAAGCTTTATGCTCATTTCAAAGCAAGTGAAAAGTCAGCTGCTTCACATAACCCTCAGAAAGAATGCAAACAATGGTTCCCATATGCTTTTGTTTCAAAATACAATTTTTCTTCATTTTTCACAATTGCTCCGTGAAAGGCTTGTATCATGGTGAACAGGGGGCTGAAACACAGTGGTCCATATGTAACCAAAGACGTTTCTTTGTACAGTTATTTGCAGATTATAGATTTGTGTATTTTTCTTCAGTTTCTGTTTTTTCTGTTTAATTATTGAAATGTCAACAGACAAAATGATGCTGCTGCTGCTGTTGTTGCTGATGATGATGATGATGATAATGATAATAACAGAAAGACACAGCTTCACAGTTCCATAGCCTAGACTGCCTTTAGGCTGAAATCATTATCATACACATTAAATCAGCTTGCATTCGAATTTAGGCAACAGAGACAAGCATTTCCTTAATAACAGGCCTCCTTCCTGTCCAATATAAGCATTAGCATACTTTTCCATCATGCTGTCCTTATGTGCACATTTTTATATGTGCAAATAAAAATACGTTAGGTACCAGATCGTGTCAGAAATAATCTACACGAGGAGTTAACCCATTCTGAAGCACGGCGCTAAAGTTTTACATTCAGAATATTCAAAACTGAACTTCTTTGTTCAATCTCCCCCATCCTATTTAATCGTGATTAATGAGTTTTTGATGTCGGAGGGGTATTTGTTTGCTTAGAAGCCTGACAAATGCGTGGTGACATCCTAATGATTTGAAACAGCCTTCAGTGTAATTCTTTAAAAATTCATAGAAGCAATTTTTAATACCAACAATACTCAGCTGTACTTTTCCACAGTTCTGCTGCAGAATGAGAGGGCAGCACCGTATTTCCCTGACATAAGGTAAACACGTGTGAATATTCTCATGTTATTAGGCCCCATCAAACTGAATAAGTCCAAGGAATGTTATAGATCTGCCCCTCCCTTACTGGTACAATATTAGATCATCACGAATGTAATAGGTTTGACTGCCTATTGTCTCATCCCTGTCCAGCTACAGGGAAAACTACACACTTCTCGTTTCTAACGTACTTACAGTACAACCTTCTCTACAACCCTGAAGAAGAGAACTCTGTAACCCTGAGCATTCACTGCAGAAAATGAGACAGTCAAATCAAGAGGAAAGTACCGATGCACAGACATACACTGCACTATGAAAATGACCTGAGGCTTCAAGGGTGGAATCCTGTCTGAAGCACCGAAGAATGTCAACTGATCCACTACCAACTGCAACATTGTCAGCTTAGATTTGATCAGAGCTGGGCTACAAGACGACCTTCAGTGGAGAATATCATGCCTGTATGTGCAGCTTTCTAGTGCAGGAAATGAACAGGTGTTCAAGACTCTTCTTGATGCCGGGGTCATCTGAGCTGTCTTTTGTGTTCAGTAAAACAGAATCTCCAGCAGGAGGAAGACAAGCACTCCCCCACTTTGGTCTGGAGGGAGATAATGGGACATTGTTTGTATTCTGCAGTATGAACCGGAAGACCTAGTCTGGACTTTTAACAAGTCATTGCAGGGATGGCATCCAAATTAATTTACTAGCCAGATTAATGAACCAGAAATCAAAAGGTAATAATATCTTCATTATGTCTATATAACATTATACAAGTACTGGTGCAATAGCTATTTTATGTGTAAGGAAGAAACTGCAGGTATATTAATTACGACAACAATACCAGTACAGAATGAAATGAAATGGATTGGTATCAGTACAAAAAGACCATATGGAACACAAAACCACAAGAAACACTGCAGGAGGCTGTAGTAATTATGTGTAGTGGGGAAGTCTAACACAGTCAACAGCTCTTGTTGGTAGTATAGGAGATCCCACAACAAAAGACCCAGTGGGTACCCAGGCTTCTGGATCTGAACCATTGGGAATTTATTTCTCCAAGGCTGCCTTAGGTCAAGATTGATATTCTGAAAGGTGAAATATCTGTAGCTTGAAACAAGAGCTACAGAAGGACAGCTGGGTGCAAATAAACTGAACTTCAGAACCTGATTGGCACAGGGTCTCAAACTGGAGGAAGGTTTAGTGTAAAATGCATTTGTTTTGCATGATAAAAACTATTCCTGGTCTTGTATGCTCAGTGTTCGATGAAAATATTTTCAAGGTGTTGCAAACTTGTACGTGGGATAAAATGATAAGTCCTTTCTTGAAAGCGAACAGGTGGACGTGCCAGGACTGTACTCTGCACTGGTGTTCTGCTCAACAGAGCCAGTCCAAGCAGCAGGTCTCTCGAGACATCGGGCAATTCTAGCACATTACAGCGCAATGGACAATACAGTTCAGGATCAAATATAACAGCTACACCACTGAAAGTATTCCGTATTATATTTGTAATTGCAAGTTGCTACTGCAAAAAAAAAAAAAAGATATGTTATTAGTTTTTCTTTTTTTCCTGTAAAAGCTAGCCATTAAATCATTTCAAGCAATCTTTTCCTTAAATTGTGGGTATTTTTTTCGCACTACAAAGTCATCAGAGAATATTGATTTGTTTGTGGCAATTGGTATTGACTGTTGCTGGTGCAGCTCTTGCAGCCTCCTGTTAGATTTAAAGAAACAGTGTGTATTGTGAGGGGATGGCTAAAATCAGGGGTGGTTACTCAGTACCCTTGTTTTCAGATACGTAGATGTTGTCATTCATAGAAACAAACAATTGACTTCAATGTAGTGAATTCAGCATTGAATAAATGCAAAAGGGAGTGCAGATAACTGCCCCTGGTCTATACGACAAAACCACAGGTACTGTAAATGAGCATTTCAGATCACTTTGACAGACACATCTCTATGTGAATAGATCTCGAGCAAATCTGATCCCAGATTCGGTAGATGAAGAGTCATTTGACCCTACAACAGAGTACCCAACTGACAGACACTAGATCTTTGTATGCAAATAAAGACTCCAATAAATAATTTAGTTTTCTTCTTGAAACGGCTTTCATCGGCCATGCATGTTTTTAATTGACCACTACCACTGTTCCAGGCTGTCGTATTTGGACCTGGTTCTTCACAGGGGTGAGCGAGGTGTTTTGGAAATGGAGACGTGTGGATGCAGAATTCCACTGATGTGTCTTCAGTGGCTCTGTGGAGTCAAGGATGGGTTGACCATTGCCTGAGATACAGCCCTAAGTGATTTTAAAACCGGAATGCCAAAGACTAACACTGCACTCACTAGAACCGAATACGCACAATATGGAAAAGCGTCTTTGTATTGTGGTTGAACTTAATTCGTGTTGGGTTGGATAATTGCTAGCATTTTTTCGTTTTCCATTTTGCATTTGGTTGGTTGGTTGAGCTGTGTCCTCAGTTCAGAACCAAACTTGCCTTTGAACATAAAACAGCAAATCATAATGTAATGATATTACTAATAATACAATTGTATTTACCAGCGCAAAGGCTACAATGTGTTCTGTGTTCCTAACATCTTCAGCGTTATATCCTTGTAAATGAAGACCCATTTGTCCAATAGTGTAGAAGATTAAAATAAATTGTATTGAATATCTAATGGGTTGTAGCTACATACGTGGTTCTTGGAGCATGAGTCCCTGTAATTTGGACTCTCTGTATACTTAGCTCATTGATGCAAAACTGGTTGCTCCTAGATCATTTGTTTCTATGTGGATATACATTGCAAATGAAGGCCCTTATGTTTTATTAGAATAAATGTACATAATGTCATGTCCCTTGTGAGTGGGCTCTCAGTCTGTTCCAAATAGAGTCCGGCTTAGTTGACTGATGTCATTAGCCAACACATAATCAGAGGTTTCCTTTATTGCATGTTAGTGCATTGCGCTGAAGACATATTGTGCATTTGTATGCTGAGTTTCAACAAGCCAGCAAATAGGCCACAAGGTGTCTGAATCATGGGCTATAAGCCACTCTCACCCTCTGTTGCTCGTGGTTGGTTGTCATAACCACTACAATGACGAAAATAAGGTTTGCGGATGAGACAAGGCCATTTTGGTAGCTCAGTCAGTAGTTAATTGATCCCCAGATCTCATCCAGCCATTTTCTGAAGGAAGCCAGGGTATAAACTTCAACAACATGTCTGGGTAGCTTGTTCTATACTCCCACAACCCTCTGTATAAAGCGCATGTGTTGTCTTTTTTAAATACACTTTGTTCTTACCTGTGTTCTTTATCATTAGACTCTCTTCCTGTTGTATTACGGTTACTTCACAATGGCAGTTTGCTAATTTTGCTACTCCACCCATTTACACTTTCTTGCAGAGAGACCCCCCATTACAAGCACTGGCTTAATAGGGGGGTTCACCTGATGGGATAGTATTGGGTACCCCCTGTTTTTTCTCAGGCCCTATTCAAGCAAAGTCTGCATCACAAAAAGCCCTGCACCGGAAAGTTGCTCGTTTTTCAGCCATCATTCATTTACTTATCTGACATCTAATTTACTTATTAATTTACTTATCTACTTATCCGTCGATGCAAAACAGTTCTTTAAGAGTGACTTAATGGCCGGCAGAGTGACGTGTCCGGAGCTCAGTGGAGCACTGCGGGCCGCTACAGCTGCAGCAGGTGAGGGCAGAGCAGGGGCGTCTGGAGGTGGCGCAGCCCTGATGCCCCCGGGAGACTGGCTCCACCGCGGGGGCAGCGTGAGAGGCCGAGGAGAGAGGAGACGTGGGCATGGAGATGGGATCTGGAGGAAGGAGAGAAGGACGGTTACAGACAGGAGCACGGAGGAGGAGACTGAAAGGAGCCGATCCTGAGGGAGCTGTTTTCTAAAGAGCAAATCCTTTCGGTGAGATTCTTACAGCGCTCGGATGCGTTGTTTTACTATTCAGCAGCTCTGACCCAGGGCGACATGCCGTATGTCTCTTTGTGGACAGACGCCCAGGAAACGGGGCTGGGGGCGAGGACTGGGGGCAGAGACCGGTCCGTCGCCGAGATGACTCCGCCTGTCCGTTCGGAAGGAAGACCCTCCTGGTCTCCCCCCCCCTCGGTGGCCGTCCGCTTCTCTGTTCACTGAGAGCTGGTGGCAGCGGAGCCAGTGGGGGGGGGGGTCTGCTGACCGGTGCCCGAGGACGCCCCTGTCACAGCCGGAGGGTCCGCTGGGTCAGACCGGTCCTCTGGGGCCTCCTGGCGGACAGTTCAGCCGGGTCAGGCTCGGGCCCGGCGAGACGGCCGAGCACCAATCACAGAGACCCCGGGGGGCCCCCGGTGAAGGGCCCCCCATTCTCCTGTACACCTGGGAGCTGAAATGTGCCACTGCTGTGTCATAAAATATAACTGTAAAAAAAAAAAAACAATGGGGAGCTTTTTTTTCTTTCATGTTTGTTTCATGCGTACATGTAAAAGAAATCGGGAATGAAGCATCGCTCCTTGTGAACTCCTTGGCCGGGAACCATAAAACTAAAAACGAGAGAGCGCTTTTGTGCGGTGAATATGGGCTGGGGGGGGCGGACGGGCTGCAGGGGGCTGGGGGTGTTATTGCTTAGAAGAAGGCCACAGGTGTGAAAAGGGCCGGCCTCTGGCGTCCGGGGGCTGCGCTTCATTTCCAAGTTCAGGTCCAGCA